ACAAATCCAAAAGAATGAAAAATTAGAAAATGTGAAATATCTCATTGGAAAAACAACTGACCTGGAAAATAGATCCAGGAGAGAGAATTTAAAAATTATTGGACTATCTGAAAGCCATGATCAAAAAAAGAGCCTAGACATCATCTTTCAAGAAATTATCAAGGAAAACTGCCCTGATATTAGAACCAGAGGGCAAAATAGAAATTGAAAGAATCCACAGATCTCCTCCTGAAAGAGATCCCCAAAGGAAAACTCCTAGGAATATTGTAGCCAAATTCCAGAGTTCCCAGGTCAAGGAGAAAATATTACAAGCTGCCAGAAGGAAACAATTCAAGTACTGTGGAAACACAATCAGGATAACACAAGATTTAGCAGCTTCTACATTAAAGGACCGCAGGGCATGGAATATAATATTCCGGAGGGCAAAGGAGATAGGATTACAACCAAGAATCACCTACCCAGCAAAACTGAGTATAATCCTTCAGGGGAAAAAATGGTCATTCAGTGAAATAGAGGACTTTCAAGCATTCTGATGAAAAGACCAGAGCTGAATAGAAAATTTGACTTTCAAATACAGGACTCAAGTGGAACATGAAGAGGTAAACAGGAAAGAGAAATCATAAGAGACTTATTAAGATTGAACTGTTTACATTCCTGCATGGAAAGATGATATTTATAACTCATGAGACCTTTGTCAGTATTAGGGTAGTTGGAGGGAAAAATTATATGTATGTATGATAGATAGATAGATAGATAGATAGATAGATAGATAGATAGATAGAGATAGAGGGCACAGGTGAGTTGAAGATTAAGGGGTCATATCTGGAGAATAAAATTAAGGGATGAGAGAGGATGATACTCAGAGAAGAAAGGGAGAGGTAGAATGGGGTAAATTATCTCACAAAAAAAAACAGAAAAGTCTCTTACAGTGGAGGGGAAAGGGGAAGGTGAGAGGGAATGAGGAATCTTATTCTCATAGGATTTGGCTTAAGGAGAATAACATACACATTCAATTGGGTATGGAAATCTGTCTTACCCTACAGGAAAATAGGGGGAGAAGGGGACAAGAGAGCAGGGGGATGATAGAGAGGAGGACAGATTGGGAAAGAGGGTAATCAGAAGCAAATACTTCTGAGGAGGGACAGGGTCAAAAGAAAGAATAGAATAAATGGGAGGGCAGGATAGGATTAAGGGAAATAGAGTTAGTTTTTTCACAACATGTCTACTAAGGAAGTGTTTTCCATAACTGCACATGTACAACCTATATTGAGTTGCCTGCCTTTTCAATAAGGGTGGGGGGGGGAGAAGGAAGGGAGAAAATTTGGAACTCAAAGTTTTAAAACACATGTTTAAAAAAATGTTTTCACATGCAACTGGGAAATAAGAAATACAGGAAATGGGGTACAGAAGTCTATCCTGCTCTACAGGAAAATAGAAGGGGAAGGGGATAAGAGAAGGGAGGGGGGAGAGATAGAAGAGAAGGCAGACCAGGGGAAGGGGTATTCAGAATGCATGCCATCTTGGGGTGGGGGCAGGGGTGAGAAATTTGGAACTCAAAAACTTGTGGAAGTGAATATTGAAAACTAAAAATAAATAAATTTTTATTTAAAAAAAATTTTATTTAAAAAAAATGATAATGGTTAAATAAATTATCCTGGTTGATGACCCAAAGTTTCTCATTACAGGAAGCCCACGCATGCCCTAAAGGAAAGATCGGAGTCAGCATGTGCCAGGTAAGTCAAAGAACTGTGATCATCTACATCACCACCTCCCCTTAGGATCCCTGGGCCATAGCTGGGGACCCTGAATCCAAGAGCCTTGGGAATAGCAGTGCCGCCACAGCCACTAGCATGAACTCCAGCCCAGGCTCCCCAGCCATTCTTGAGGGAATCACTGTGCAGAACGGACTAGCTCTCCAAGCCATATCAACACCAACTGCTTAGCAGCTGCTCCTCCCAGACGGGGAAGGCCGAGAACCCGAGGATGGCTACCCTCCCCAGATCACTCGTACTGCTCCTGGGGAGTGGGGGATGAGGGGTGGTGGTCTCTGTCTCCTCGGCAGCCACAGCTCCTTTTACCTAAAAATTAAGGTTCTTGACATCAAACACCTTGGCTCTGTCAAATAGTTCAATATCAGAAACAGACATGGCTTAATTAATAGAAGCGATTTCTGACCTTCCATCTGACTTGGGGGGGGGGGTGCATCTCCCCTGAACAGGGGAGAGCAGAGACTCTCCTTTTTATTTGTATCCCTAGCACTTAGCACTTCATAAAGACTTTCTTCATTCACAAGATCATCGGGTTAGAGCTGTGAAGGAGATCTAGTCCAATCACTCATTTTACAGATGAGAAAACTGAGGCTCATAGAAGAACTACCAGTGTCATTTACCAGTTATCTAACTTCCACTGGACCTGTTTCCTCACCTGTGAAATTAGGGATGATAACAGCATTCTGCCACAAGAGAGTTGTTAGGAGGATGCCTCATAAAGCAAAAGCAGCAAAAAAAAAAATTTAAGTGAGCTCTTCTCATCACTGCCTGAAGCCACCGAAGTAGCAGCATCAGGATGAGAGACTAGGCCCTGTAACTCCAAATGCAGCCTTCTCCTTGCTGCCTCCCTGAGTATCACTCCCCAGGGCTGCCTTTTTCATTTGGGGTCTCAAGATTTTTGTGTAATGTACCTTGCATAGAAGTTGTCCCCTGAGTAAGTCCCTTGGGGGACCATAACATAGCTAAAAAGATTCAATCTCCCCAGAATCCATTCATGCTGCTCTTGATGAGACCTGCTGAAAAATGTGAGGAATGAAGGTCAGCATGACACAGTAGGCCGCAGAAGACCTTATCTAAAGGATTTCTTCATGCCATGCAAGGAATATGCCAAGAAACCAGTCTGGAGACATCTAAATAAACAACTCACTGCATGAGGTTTGAGATCAAGAATGCCTGTTAGAAAGAGATCCCAACTGAGAAGTAAATAAATATATGGCAGGGATTCCAAAAAACAAAATGAGTCAGTGGGAATTCATATGACAAATGAAATGCTGAACTCTGCCATAAAAGATGAAAGCAGGAAAATAAACTGAGCCTTAAATCCAAGACAACGCGACTTACGGGTAAAGGCAATTTATGGAATATTCACTCCCTGTCCCATTCATCTAGTACCTCACTTCCAGAAAGTCCCAAATACTTCATCCCCTTTACCGCCTTCATCCTCTTTGGACCCGAGAGGAGAAGGAAGCAACAAGGAGACTAGGGAAGAAAGACACACAGGAGCTTGCCCTGAGAACCTAGAGTGAGTCCATGGCAAGACTAGTGCTAAGTGGTCACTGACAGATGAAGCCTCTATGTGGATATCATGAACTTCATCTCCTCACTCAACTACCTTCTACTGATGGTCTGTTATCGCAGAAGACAGGAAGTATGGCTTCTTTGGAGGGCTTGGGGGCTCCATCCCACAGCACGATACAGGGCACTTAGTTAAGTACCCCAAAATAAAGGAGTTAGCCTGTTCTCTTGGAAAAGGGAAATGTCATCAGGAAATGCTGTGGTCTGTCATAACTAATGGGTCTCACAAAGGTACCCTCCAGGTAGGCTGGAAAATGTCTCTGAAGGCAAATGACCATGGGGACATCACCGCGTACAGGACTGATCTATGTCTCTCGGTACCAAGAGGCCACTTCTCTCACCTTCTCTGTCAAGTGCAGAAAATCCCATCCATCCCCCAGTCTTCAGGAAAATGCCCAATTTCCCTCAGAATGGGCTCCTACAAGGCAATTTTCAAGACAAGTTCGATTCTGTGGCAGCACCAGTAAAGAACCTGTATCTCTCCACTGCAGAAGGTTCAGGTGGATTCCTAGCCATGGACAGAGGCACGATTCTCTCTCACTTGTGCACAAAAATGCAATCACTCTCAAAAGGTGACTTGTAAATGAGCTTTTCGAAAGAGAACCAAAGGCATTAAAATCCCCCAGAAAAGCATCTGGTCCTGAGACATGATAAACATCTGTGAAGCACACAGTTAAAAGCAGAGTCTGGAACATAAGACAAGGAACACTCTGGACAGGGACGGTTAGAAGGAAGGTGAGAATGTTCACCAGTCTCCAGGACACCAAGACCAAGGAAGCCCCTCTGAGACTCCTCCCTCATATGCCAACAAGAACATGATACACACCCATTCATCAGATGTGACAGTGGCAGACAGCAACAGTTTGAGGGAAGATGAGGAAGCTTCCAGAAAGCTGAATCCAATAATTAGGGATTCACCTCAAAGGGCAACGAGGTGGCATAGTGGGTGCGATGTTGGGCTCTGAATCCTAAGACTGGAGTTCAAATCCTGACTCAGCCAGTTAACAGCTGGGTAGCACCAGCCAAGTCACTTAACTGGTTCTTAGTCTCGGTTTCCTCATCTGATGATAATAGCTCCTGCCTCACAAGACTGTTGTGAGGATCAAAGGAGATAACATGTAGAGTGTTTGGAGAATCTTAAAGCACTCCATAAATGACAGCTATTGTCATACTGACTACTACATCTCTCCTTAATAATTCATGATGGAGCGCTCGATCCTCACAAATACATCCGAACTCTTCTGGAACCTCTTTGTCTATGCCACTTCTGTCAAGCCACCATGGAGAGGCGCTCCTCTGATTAGTCCCAAGATGTTTACTACAGGTTCTGAAACAGGGCCAACCAATCATCCATGAGGCCCCGAACGATGCTCTTATCACTGTGTCACCAATCTCAAGAATGTTCTTCTACATGGCCACTACTCGCCTAGGCAGATTCAAGACAATGGTCCCTTTACAAAAAAGAAGAATCCACCAGTGAGCTGAAGGAGTCCTCCAGGACTAACCTGCTTCACAAATCCAGGAGAGCTCTGAACTTCCGGATGCCACACTGGCCCACAACCCAGGGATGGACTGTCTATCAGCCACCCAGACACTGCCGTCTGTATCTGACCCTGCAGTAGGCATCTCACAGCCCCCAGGTCCAACCCTGATTACCTCTTCATCCTCTTCTTCATCTTCAACATCCAGAATCCCGGAATCTTGTTCAGACTTGGGACTAGTGCTTTCTATCTCTGTATCCAAGCTGGTAAATGCATCTTTCTTGGATTTTTTCCTGCTGCCTATTCTGGGCTGTTGTGAGATGATGTTATCCAGGTTCCTTTGCTGCTGAGCCTAGGACAGAAGCAGAAAACAGGTAAGAAGGGAATATTCGCAAGTTTTTTTTTTAAACAAATGAGAACTTCTAGAAAATAAATCAAAGACATATGTCAACACATTAAGTCTTCAAGAATCCGTCGGGGCAGTGAATATACTTTTAATGTCCTAATGTGACCTGGCAAATCCACTGCTGAAATTTCCTTAATAAGAAGGTAACCTGAGAACTTCCTGTTAAATCCTGTTAGATCCCAACTCAACTTACTTGGGAGACCTCAGACAGGTCCCTTTGCCACTCAGGGCCAGTTTCATCATCTATAAAAATAATAGAGGTGGGCTGATTTTATTGTGCATCAGTTCAGCTAAGTCTTCCATGCTTCTCTGTATTCCTCATTTTCACTGATTCTTATAATGTCAAGAAATTCCATTACACAAGGAAAGCCAAAAACAATTTACACAATGATGTCAACACTGTAAATGGAAAAAAACCACCCCAAAACAACTGAAAATATTACAAAATTACAAAGAACAAGCCTGACCCCCCAAAAAAAGAGATGAAAAGACACTTCCTAGCTCCTCTGTAGAAGTGTGGGTAATGTCCATACATGCAGTCATCTTCATATATTGGTCAGTTCTGCTGATTTCCTTCTCTTCTTCCTTTTCTCTAAAAAAGTCTTCATGCTATGAAAGATGGCTCTCTGGAAGGAGGAGAGCATGGATACAGGGAGAAGTATAGGCAATGTGAAAAGATATCCCTAACAATTTATCTTTAAAAATTCAAGGGTTTGGGCTCAGTGTTCTCTAGGATCACTTCCAACTTTAAATAAATGCTAAACAGCTTGAGTATGTAGGGCTGTAAGCCTCGCAAAGCATTCTACACGTGTTCACTTGTTTGATTCTCACAACAACTCTGGGAGGCAGCTAGTATTATTGTCCCCATTTTACACAGAAGAAAACCAAGGCACAGAGAGGGTAAGTAACTTGCCAAGGATCGCACAGCCACTATGTGTGTGACGTGACACTCCTCACACTTCTCAACCTAATCCTTCCAAACGTGACATGGCCTCCAAAGCCACTTAGTCCAATCCCCTGATTTGCGTAGATACCCTCTGGCTCCAGAGTTCATGATTTCACAGGAAACCACGCTGCCCTCTTTATGAGGTTAAAGTGATCTTTCGGCACAGCAGCCCACTCCTTTGGGTAAAGGAATGAGTTCTGACAACTTTTGTTAGGATAACAAATGCCCCATCTAGACTCTACAGGTTCAGAGTTTTACTGAGATTTGCTTTCCTTCAATTCTATGATAGTTCATCCATTTCCCTTAAAATATTCCAGTGAAATTCCACTAAGGAGATGAAGAAGTGTGATACTGAGGAATGAACTAGCTGACCCCACTGGAGTTTCTATGACCTTCGTCTCTGGGAAGCAGGAAAGAAAAGGTTTCCCCTTTCACACTTGTAAAGGGGAAGGAAGTGTTAGAGCTTAGCTCAACACTACTAACAGAAAACGGACTGGGATTCAGGCAGGCACAAAAAAGACAAAATAAAAGATTGCAGAGAATCAACAACAAGGTTGTAAATTCCTACTCTGTATATGACACTTCTCCACTGGAGACAGGGAGAGAGGAAACCAGCTCAGCAGAATGGTTCTTGTGGCTGATGGCAGGAGGCCTTCAAACCTTCTGAATGAGTTCAACATCAATGGCAAGAATAAAGCAGTGGATGCCAATGGGTGTTAGCCCAATAACGTACTGGATGAGCAAGAAAAGTAAAAAAAGAAAAAAAAATGAACTATGAGAGCTAATTTCTTCCAGGAACATGAAAAAGAAAGACCATGCATACCAGAGGCTTGCATTTAAAAAAAAAAAAGGAACTTTTTTGACTGTCCATGATCCGTTGGCATCATGGTTCAACTTACCTCAAGGACACAATGGCCTCTGTTACTTAAACAAAGATACAGAAGGAGACCAGAAACCTTTGAATTGGCCTTGCAATTAAGCCCACACTCGCAGCTATTCTCAAGCTCACTTAAACCCCTAGGGTAACAGAATGTCAATTCTTTCTCTCCAAAGAAAAGGCATCTACTTTCTCCTGTGATTCTGTAAATTGGGCCAAGCCAGAAAGCTGGATAGTAGACAGTCAGGTAAGGTACTACGGGTCAGAGAACTGGGCTCCCCAAATAAAAATCAAAGTGCTAGAAGTTCTATCCTGGCTCTGTTAGGGTCAATGGGCAAGTCATTTTGCCTTAAAGCACCATGGAGCCTATTTCATTCTATGAAAGGGAGCCGTCAATGCTGGTCTGGCAAGCAGACAGGCCGCTGGATGAGTGAGCACCACAGCGAAAGCACAGAATGATGAATCGGCCCATTGTCACTGTTGTGGATACGAATGCAAATTACCGCCTGACAGCAACCAAAATGCTTCCAGGGGCGGATGGGAAAAACAGATAATTAAAAAGCAATCAACACAAGAGAGTAAGTGGAGCCCAAACAAAGGCACTTTAAATAAGAAGCCACAAAAGTCCAGCTCCACCACAGAGCACCTCCAGAGGAGGATGGCTAGAGGGTGGGAGAGGGCAAAGCCCCGAAGGAGGGAGGACAGTTGTCCTGGTTTCTTATTTTTTTTTTTTATGCAGTACAGTTGGTACTGGGGACCAAACATTGAAATGGTTTCTTGAATATTTCTCCCTCTTTGAATATTCTGCTGCTTAGCCCTCAATGACCCCATCCTCTCCTCACAGCCTAGCTCTTTGATCATTAATGCCTCCACTCCCAGGGCTCCCCGCTCTTTCTCTTCTCATCGAGGTAGCTGTTAGCACTTGTGGGTCCTCAGAAGTTTCAGTTCCTGGACTCTCTCTTATGTTCTGTCCCTGTTCTCAGGACTTCAATGATCATCTGTATGTGAATAGTTCCCCAATCCAAATCTCTGCTCCTGGCTTCCCTGCAGACATTTTTAACTCTCTAGGGAGACTCTCCACTTGGCTCCCATCCGCATCTCAGACTCAATCTCTTCCTCGCTCTACTTCATCCTGCACATAACCCTACTGGGTAAATATTTCTAACACATCCTTCTCAGCACGTCCATTATTGTCTGGACAGCAGTAGATTCACTGATGGCTTTATCGATAATGGTAAAGTCCACACTGGAGCCTGATATTCAAGACCCTCCAAAATCTGCCCCAATCTTATTGCTAGTGTCCAACCAGAACCAGAATGCAAATCGAATTATCCACTCCAGGCGGACTGATCTCTTAGGAATGCTCTGCCTTCCAAACCCTATCCCTCAGATTGAGAGCTGAACTTGGAATCACTGAACCTGAGTTCAAATCTTTTCTCCGCTACTTACTTCATACATGTGACCCCGGGTAAGCTGATGAATCTCCCTCTAGGCCTCAGCTTCTTCATCGTAAAAGAAGAGATTTGGAATAGAGGCCTCCTCTATGGATCCTAGATCTTTGATCGTATGATCTTCCACGCCCTTGTCTAGCATATCCCAATAGCAGTCCTTCCCTCCTCTGACCACCTACAGCACATCCTCCTTTTCCTGTAGAACTATAGCACAATTTTTGACAATTATGCATATTGTTTCATATTATTAGTTATCTTTTCATGTGCATATGTCTTGTCTACCCAACTTGAGGGGGACTATGTATTACACAACTGTAATCCTCCAAAGGAACTTAAATATTTACTGAAGGAAAAGACACATACTATAAGGCAACCTTTTCAGGTTCTATCTGTTAACGATGGTAATCAAATTCTCCCCTATGGACCAATGGAGAATTGATGAGAGGACATCATTTATTTATTTGTTTTTCTCCAGGCCTTTGATTTCATCAACAGAGAGCTCTCCCAGGGAGGAAACATCCTTGAAGACACCTGGACTATTCGATGAGCCAACCAGACTTTATTAAGAACCTTGTGCCAAGTAATGTGCTAAGTGCTAGGAAATCAAATACAAGATACATGGTCCCTGATCTCAAGGAGCTGGCATTCTACACACACACACACACACACACCACAAAGTGATCACTGCAGGTGAGAGGACCAGCAAGAAGGGAAATTAGGAGAAGTCTCTTGCAGGAAGGAGAACTTCAGCTGGATCTTTAAAAGACCTGGAGGTGCCAAGAGGCTGAAGTGAACAAGGAAAGCACTCCACGCATGGGGCCGTTACCTGTGCAAAGGCCCAGGGACGGGAGAAGAAATGGGAATAAGGGAACATCAGAGAAGAGGATCTGCCTCATCAACAGCATTGGGATACTCAGCTTGGAACAACAGGCTAGAGCCAGACTGGGAAGGGCACTGAATGCCCTAAAATGGGCTGAAAAGGGAGAGGTACTGAGTTCAGGTCCAGAACTTCTGATCTTAAGGGAGTTTCCTGAGACACTGAGAAGGTGCTTCACCCAGAGTCCCTCCGAGTTGGTATGTGCCAAGGCTGGCTATCAACTATGCCATGTTGCCCCCAATCACCTGGCCAAGGATACATGGAAACAAGCAGAGAAGATTTACCTTGGGATCTTGGGAATGCCAAAAGAAAGTGATCTTGTGAAACACCTACAAGCCTCAAGGATACCAGGTACCATATGCCAGGTTAAAAACATGAAATTTAATGCCTAAGGGCTGTAAGGGCCTTTATCTTGGCCTAATACTGACCTCTAGTGGCTAATAAGAGCTGAAGGTTTGCAAACTCGTGGCTCTGGTCACACAAGACAGCCTTGAGAATCAGTAAATCCTACGTAGGAAGAAAAAAGGGTGTAATCAATCTTACCAACAAATATTTATTAAGCACCTACTACGTGCAAGATACCGTGGCATGCTCACAGGAGGTATACAAAGACAGAAATCAAACAGCTGCTATCTTATGGAGCTCATGAAAAGGTTGACTTCACCAACAGAAAGACCAACACTGGACTGCTAAGATGAGCATATCTGAAAAAGTCTGGGAGTATCCTGCCCACTATGGGAGCAACTAAGGCACGGCAAAGTTCTGATCAATGGTAACAAATACCATGTAACTTTC